CCCCCCCGTGGTGTTTCTGACAGTTTCTGAAGGGTTTCTCTTGCAGGAAGCCCCAGTAGGACAGGCTGTACTACAGACACTAAGCGTTTGCCTGTTGGCTGTAAGGTGGTTTTTACTTGGGCCTGTAGAGGAGTCTGGAGAGCTCCCTGGTTCAAATCCCTGCTGAGGCGGGGAAGGAAGCCTGATTTGGCTGAGTCTGATAACTCAGTCCACTACAGAACCTTAATAAGATCATCTTTTGGACGTCACACGGGAGAGCAAACTGTGGTCCTTTCTGTAAGACCCTGCACATAGCTGTAGCCCAGAGGTAGCCAGTGGTGACCACTAACTTTTTCTAAGACCTTTCCTGTGGTAGTTTGAATGAGAAATGTCCCCCAGGGGCCACGTGTTTGGACACCCGGTTCCCAGGCGGGTGCTGTGCTCAGGAGACCTGAGGGCATCAAACACACATCACAAAGGCCATTATTGGTTTGGTGTGGTCTCCGGTGTTGGAGAAGGAACCCAGGGCCTTGTGCTTGCTGAGCAAGAGCTCCACCACCAAGAGACCTATCTCATCTCCAACCTCAGCTGTTGTTTTGGACTAAGCTCCTCCACTGGGTCCAAAAATTCCGGACTAAAAATAAAAATGAGGTCAGCCATGCCAAAGTTCACATCAACAAACAGACCTTCCAAGAAATCAGCAGTGAGAGGTGGCAGCCACATTTCTGAATCAGGCCAGTTTCAGTGTGTGATATGATGGAATTTCCTCTGCTTCATCTTTACACAGAGGTAACCTGATGTTAGCCTGTTCGTTGTTTTTCTGTTGTTCCTTCTCCAGGGCACCGCCTTCTGTGAGTGAGATCCAGGACAGACACCAAAAATGACACAGAGAAATCCTGTCTTGAAAAACAAAACAAAAATAAAGAACTCTTACTGAAGGTGAAATAAGAATAAGAAACTTTTTTTTTCTTTTGGTTTTTCAAGACTGCGTTTCTCTGTGTATCCCTAGCTGGCCTGGAACTTCCTCTGTAGACCAGGCTGGCCTCGAACTCAGAGATCCACCTGCCTCTGCCTCCTGAGTGCTAGGATTGAAGGTGTGTGCACCACGACTGCCTGATGCTCTAGTACAATTTTAAAAAATACATTTTACATAAAATACAATTGGATCGCTTTCCGCACCTCCCTCCTCCCGCCCTTTCCAGCAACTCTCCCTTGAGCCCCTCCATGTCCTCCCGCTCTCTAAATTATAGCCTTTTTCTTTGATCATTATCTTACATGTATGTGTATGTACAAATACATATAAATACATACATACATGCATATGTATAATACAACCCAAAAATTACTTTAAACAAACCTAAGAGGCTGCTGTATTCGCTTTTTGACAGGAATACAGGACTCTGCATGAGCTGGATGAGCAGCGGGAGACCTTCGAGCTCCTCAGTCCTCTGCAGAGCCCAGGTCTGGACTCAGTGCCACGACGCGCTCTGGTGTCACTGAATGAGGGTCTTCTGCTGTTGTTGCTCCACGTCTGACCTGTAGTCAGAGTCCTCAGGAACACAGCGGGTAGCGGTTCTCCCTGCCCTCTTCTCATCTGGCTTGGCTTCTGGAGACAGCAGACCGCATTGTCTTCCTTGCGGTGCAGAATCAAGCCTTGCCTAGCATATGGATTTGGTTTGAATTGTTAACTGGATTTGGCAAAAGTCTAAAATGTATTACAAAGACGTAAAACTGGGGTTTTGAAAGTGTTCTATATTGAAATATTTGTCTTTTATAAAAACATATTGAAACGCTTATACCTGAAATGATTTGGAGTCAGGATTTGTTTCAAAAACCCCATCAGAAAGTAGGAGGCCAAGGTTGTAAATGGACGAACGCTGACTGCGAGCAGCCCCTAATCGTCAAATGTGGTTATGGAAGGTTCACTACACTAGTCTGCCTCCTTTGGTATGTGCTCAAAACTGTTGTGCTGGGGAAGGTTAATTGTCAACCTGACACAATCTAGAATCACCTGAGGGCCACTGAGCATGCCTGGGAGGGATTGTCTTGCTTGCACTAATTGCGCTAATTGAAGTAGGAAGACTTGCCCACTGTGGGTGGTGCCATTCCCTGGCCGGATCCTGGGTTCGGTAAGTGGAGAGGGAAAGCCGATGCCTTTTCTGCTCTCTGTGAGCAGCTGCCTCAGGCTCCCTCTGCCTTTTGCTTCCCCAGCCCGATGGACTGTCCCCTTGACCTGTAGCCAGAATAAACCTTTGTCCCCAAAGCGGCTTTTGTCAGGGTGTTGTGTCATAGCAACAGAAAAAGAAACTAAGACACTTGTCCATAATCACAAATTTTTAAACACCGATTTGGGGGCTTTCTTCTGGGATAACACAAAATACCAGCATTCTGAAGTAAAATGAACCTTCTCTGGTTTGAGACCCAGTGGTGACATTCCAAAGGTTGTTGCCAGGTTGAGGCTGGGTCTTGCACTACTTGGAAATCAATACATAGAGTGAGTCCTGCTGGTGTGTGTGTGTGGGGGGGGCGGTGGCGGCGATGGCGGCGATGGCGGCGATGGCGGCGATGGCGGCGGCGGCGGCGGCGGCAGCAGCAGCACACGCCTTTAATCCCAGCACTCGGGAGGCAGAGGCAGGCGGATCTCTGTGAGTTCCAGGCCAGCCTGGGCTACAGAGTGAGATCTAGACAGGCACCAAAACTACACAGGGAAACCCTGTCTCAGGGGAAAAAAAAAACAACCCTTGCATGACATTGGTGACTTGGGCATCATGTTCAATTCACCTTTTAGGATGTGATCCAAATAGTCTGAGATCTGCAGGTTTCTTTTATAAATTAACCCCCCCAACACATACAAAACCACATAACTGTGTATTTGATGAGTTTTATTTAGTTAGAAGTTATTTGGCATTTTAAGAATAAGAGAAAGTGCCTCAAGGAGAGCATTTTCCTAATAGGTTGAAGGCATACATCTTGGGAGTTCTCCAGCGGCTATAAAAAGCCCCACAGATCCATGCAGACCTTCCTATTTAGGAGTAAGTGGGAGGCAGGAGGTGGCAGATGCTTACAGAGTACCCAAGAGCATCCAAATACACTTGTAATGTATGGATTCATGTAGTTAACAGCGGTCTTTTCTAGGTGTGGGTCTGGGAGGAAATGTTATAATCTTCCTTAGAAGTCATGATTTCCAGTTGATTCCCAGACCTACTCATCCTCTAGGTGGTCAAGGTCTGCTCTCTGCATCAGGACCCAAAGGAGCCCTCTGCTCCTTGTGTGACCCCTGCTGCTCTGCTCCCATGGCCACTCCCACAACCGAAGGAACGTGGAGGTTAACTCGGAGACCAGGGTCCCCCAGCCATGCCTTGTTTGGATTGCCAGTGTCCCTCCTTTTCTTGGTGGTGTGTCTTTTCTCCTTGTGGTAGTTAATCCGGTTGTCAACTTGACTGGATCTGGAACCAACTAAGAGAAAGGCCACTGGCGCCCCATGATGGGTTTTCTTGGTCAGAATGTCTGAAACGGGAAGACGCACCCCAGATGCAGATGGCGCCTCCCAGAGGCAACTCAGATACAAGGGGTGTGGAAAAGGCACCATTGCCGGCTTGCCTGCCCGCCTCAGCTGGCAAGCTCATCCGTCCAGTTGCTCATTCATTACTCCACTGATACTGACTCAGCTTCTCCAGCAGCGCCTGGGGCTGCCGAGGCATCCAGCCTTGTGGACTGAACATCTACCAAATTCTCACCACTCTGGCGTGAAGAGCCATTGCTGGACTACCCAGAGTACCATGGAAGCCAGTCTAATCAATGCCTTTTTAATATGTATTCACTCCATCAGTTCTGCTCCTCTAGAGAACGTGACTAACATGCTCTGACAAGTTCTCGAACAGGTCCAAACATTGCGAACTTGGCGCGGACAGGTGTTGCCCTTTTCTCTTCCTGCTCCCTTGCTAACTCTTAGATTGCATTCTTAGAGCTAGCCCCCAAGGTCTACTCCCTTATTTGGCCACTGACTCATTCCTGAGACTAAACACCAAGGTCCGGCAATCAGAATTCATCATTTGGCTACACAGCTAACCTGTCCCATCACTCTGGCGCAGACTTCCCCGTTCTCCTTAAAAACCCACTCCTGCAGAAACACCTGATGCTCATTGTCAGCCTTTGCCGATTCAGAGGCAGCCCCCTCCCCACTGGTCCCCCCGGGGGAATAAATCCCCTTGGTGCTGAGAATTCGGTGTCTGGGTGTGTCCTACACCGGCTCCGAGGGGCCCTCCAAACCCTTGCATGTTCCATTGGTTCTGTTTAACTTGCCCTCCGTGCACAGGACTACATCCAGGTTAGGGCTCTTGTTAAGGCTATGGTTTGAAGGTCCCCTCCAAGACGCAGTGTGAAAGCTGTGGGGACAGCTTTTGTTTTTGTTTTTTGAGACTGTTTCTCTGTGTAGCCTTGGTTGTCCTGGAACTTGCTCTGTAGACCAGGCTGGCCTCAAACTCACAGAGATCCGCCTGGCTCTGCCTCCTGAGTGCTGGGATTAAAGGTGTGAGCCACCAATGCCCGGCTGCTGTGGGGACTTTCAGAGTTGAACTCAATGTATTTTTCATTGTACAGCCATGAGTTTACAGGGGTATGGAAGGTGGTGGTTTGAATGAGAAACACCCACCCCCACAGGCTCATTGTTTTTGACACTGGCTCCCCAGTTGTTGGTGATGTTCGGGGAAGTTTAGGAGGTACGGCCTCGCTGGAAGAAGGATGCAACTGAGCATGGGCTTTGAGACTGTAGCTTCCCCCACTTACAGTTCCTTCTCTCGGCTTCATGCTTGTAGTAAAACATATAAACTCGCCTGGTGGTGCACGCCTTTAATCCCAGCACTTGGGAGGCAGAGCCAGGAGGAGCTCTGTGAGTTCGAGGCCAGCCTGGGCTACCAAGTGAGTTCCAGGAAAGGCACAAAGCTACACAGAGAAACCCTGTCTTGAAAAAACCAAAAAACAAAACAAAAAACAAACAAACAAACAAAAAACCATATAATCTCTCAGTTTCCTGCGCTGGCCTCCCGCCGCCATGGACCATCTAGAGTTGCTAGCTAAAATAAATCCACCTGTCTATAAGTTGCCTTGGTCATGGTGTTTTAGCCCAGCAATAGAAAAGTGACTAAGGTATGTGGTCAGTATTAAGCATTGTGTTTGTTAACATGAACTGTTTGTGCTACAAACAATGAAGCAAATGTTACATCTTTATGTATAAATGACATCTAATATTTATTAATAAACATCCAAGAAGACACTACTCACTGAGTCTATTCTAATATTTTTACCATGTTATATAGAAGTTATTATTATTATTATTATTATTATTATTATTATTATTATTATTTCAAAGGCTTCTGGGTATGTTCTTCAGGCCTAAAACATTCTCCCTTCCAGAGGCAGAAAGATCATCCCTCAAGGCCTATCAGGGGGCACAAAATGAGTTCAATGAGGTCAGTCAGGACGATTTGGTGAGCTCCTGTTTCAAAATGAAGTGTAAAAAGAGGGCTAGGAATGTAGCTCAATGGGAGAACTTTCACCCAGCATAAGCAAGGCCCTAGGTTGAATCCTTAGACACACACACACACACACACACACACACACACACACACACACACACACACACTCACATTCACACGAGAAGATGATAAAGCCAAAAGTTGTTTGTTTGAAAAGTTCAATAAATGTGAGTAAATTCTGGCCAAACTAACTGAGAAAAACGGAGAAAACACGTGTTTATGTGGCATTAGAAATGAAAGCGGCGTTTTAGAACAAATGTTCCCTGAGCAGGACAGACATCATAGTCAGCAGAGCAGCTGTGACTGTTAACTGTTGATGTTCTCTCAGAGAAGGAGGGGTGAGGCGGTCACTGGACCCTCAGCTGGAACTCCTTCTCCCTCCAGCCATTTGTACACAGTCTGCCCTCACTGTATGCGGCCTCCAGACCGTGGGAGGCATGGCAATGTGGGAGCTGGGGGAAAGCTAACTGAAGGGGGAACTCTGTCTGTGCAGCTATGGGGAGCCATCATCCAGGCTGGGTGAGCACTTTCCAGCGTGGATGCTTTGGAGTCCACACCCAACCCCTGATCCCTTCCACCCCACTGTCCCTCCCCACCCCCACCCCCACCCCCACCCCACCCCCACCCCCACCCCATCCACAATGCAGTAGAAAATTATTTTAAGGTGTGTTACTTTTGTTCATGTTGCATTTGTTTAACTCTGTGAAGCTGTGTTACTGTGCCTGTCTAAAACACCTGATGTCTAATAAAGAACTGAATGACCAATAGTGAGGCAGGAGAAAGGATAGGTGGGGCTGCAGGCAGAGAGAATATATAGAAGGAGAAACCTGGGAGGAGAGAGAGGTCTAGGAGCCAGAGAAGGAGGAGGACTCCAGGGGCCAGCTACCCACAGCTACACAGCAAGCCATGGAGTAAGAGTAAGATACAGAAGTAAGAGAATGGGAAAAGCCCAGAGGCAAAAAGGTAGATGGGATAATTTAAGTTAATAAAAGCTGGCTAGAAACAAGCCAAGCTAAGGCTGGGCATTCATAATTAAGAATAAGCCTCCGTAAAAAAAAAAAAAAGTGAAAAAAAAAAAAAGAATAAGCCTCCATGTATGATTTATTTGGGAGCTGGGTGGCGCCTACCCCCAAAAGAGGCAGCTCCTAATCTGTCTTTTGTAAACCCAATAAAAACCATTGGTTCCCCAGTGTTCGGAACCTCGGTGGAATTGAACTTTGACTTTGTTAGGTCTTAAACCCAGGACAAATGGCTGAGGCACCTATTGAACATAGCAAATCAGATGCTGGCCTCCAGGTTCTCCCTGCATCCCTTATTCCCTCCCTGTTCTGTTGGGGGGGGCGTGTGGCATACCTGTCACCTACCCTAAACTCCAGCCCAGAGGCTGGGCTTTCCTTCTCCCAGCTGCCCCTCCTATATAATCCAGTCATTTTGGCTATGCATCTCTTAGCCCAGGCTGCCCCTCTTGTTCAGTGGCTCCTCTCCCTCTCCTCACGTGGCCCAGCTCAGTCTGGTCATGTCCACTCTGGATTCTCCAAGATGTCCCTGCCTCTGGCTGTGTCTCCCTTTTATCTACAATAAACTTTCTCCTCCACCATACCTAGGAGCAAGCATGTCCTTCCTTTTTTATTTTCTTTCTCTCTTTCTTTCTCTCTTTCTTTCTTTCTTTCTT